GCTGCCATAGTACCGTTCGTTCAAACCGATGCTGTGTCGTCAATTCTTTATCAAATCGTGCAATCTAAATTGCTAATTGTAGACGACGTGAAGACGCTCCAGATCCAATTTGAATCAAGTCATTTGCAGCTGTGAGCAGAACGCTATCAACGTTTGAAGCCGCTGTGCAGAAATCCGTCTGTGCTCTCTATCTTTCGTTTTAGGCACATTCAAGCCTATTGTGACTATAACAACTTACACACCTATCTGTCGAAACACTCAGAGTAAGTTCTCTGTCATTTGCTGCAGCGTGGATGTGTTGCCTTCCATAATGGAATTGGTGGGTCGTTGTACCCAAGAGCACCCACTGACTTCAATCAGTCTGGTGACTCGCACAATCAAAGGCAAACATTTTCCTATGCTTAAAGGATGGACGGTACTTGCCGCATGGGATAAGGGATATCACATGTGGTGGCCTGACAGCCGATCTTATGGGCGAGCAAAGCATAATGTTAGGGCATACTACCTCCCACCAATTCGCATTGTTGCATGCCCCATCAATTGGGGCAAGATGCAAAATCAGCTGATACACTATTTGTTGTACAGCTAGAGGAAACCACACAATCGTCTCCTGAGATCGAGGATTTTCCTCCTCAGATGAAGGCTCTGGCAGAGGACTTCAAGGAGGTTTTCGAACCGATTCCTGATGGACTCCTGTTGGTGCAACCCTACGGTTTGCATTCGGCTTGTTGTCCGTGTGCGTGCATGCGTGTGTGCATGGAATGGTATGAGGGCATGAAATAATATATATTTCATGTTTACAATAGTGTGTGTATGATGAAGCATGATTTTGAATGTGTGCGTCGAGTCAATAGCGAGTTATCGCTAGTCGCGTGTCACGTCGTCGTTTGTGTGTCGTGTGCGGTTTTCTATTTTGTCGTGTGTGGAACGTTCGGCGTGTCGCAGGTGTGCGCAGCAGACTTCCAAGAACTCAAGGAAGAATTTACCTTGAAGAACCAGAGCCTTGGTTTCAAGATTCAAGTTATTTCGAAGCTCTCCAAAAGGGTAAACTTTAAGATAGTGAGAATAGTTGCATTACTTTGTGTAGTGTAACATTTCTCTTGGTGTAGGCCCTTGTGGAGGGTAGTTTCGAGACCCTTCGTGGTTGGGGACAGTGTGGCACTGTTCCACATCACTGTACCTCGGCTCTTGGGGTTTGTAGGAGCTGGGAGTCATTCCCAACTCGTAACTCTTCCTATCTTGTGTTCTAAGACTATAGTGGCTGCCATAGTACCGTTCGTTCAAACCGACGCTGTGTCGTCAATTCTTTATCAAATCGTGCAATCTAAATTGCTAATTGTAGACGACGTGAAGACGCTCCAGATCCAATTTGAATCAAGTCATTTTCAGCTGTGAGCAGAACGCTATCAACGTTTGAAGCCGCTGTGCAGAAATCCGTCTGTGCTCTCTATCTTTCGTTTTAGGCACATTCAAGCCTATTGTGACTATAACAAGTGGTATCAGAGCCCCTTGGAGCAGTTTCGACAATGTCTGGACCTGAGGAAAGGGGTGGCAGAGTTGCTGGTGGCAGTGGAGAAGCCCAAGCTCAAGGCCAACCCCGTGATTCAGCCATGGCGCCCATGCAACCAAGTCTTGGCCCACCTAGGGATGAGCCTAGGGTGTTTGGGCTTGACAAATTCAACGGTGACAACTTTGCTGAATGGTCCTTCAAGATGGAGAACATCTTTGACCACTATGACCTGCTGGAGGTGATGGAAGGAACGGAGAAGCGCCCCGAGAACGACCCGGAGAAGAGCCCGTGGGTGCGGAAGAGCGCACAAGGCTATCTCCTACTTGGGCAAGCGTTGGGGAGCAGCCAGATCCGTCACATCAAACCATTCCAGCGTGAACCAGAGAAGGGACCAAAGGCATGGGTTGCTCTCAAGGGTGTACATGCTCCTGCAACAGCGGCGGTAGCGGTGGTGTTGGAACGGCAAATGGCGGCACTACGAATTGAAGAAGACGAAGCGGTTGAAGAAGGGGTGCAGAAATTCTTCGACTTGTTGACGCGGCTTGAGGGAGCTGATTTGAACTACAGTGAGCTCCAAAAGAAGACCAAGTTGCTGGCCTTACTCCCAGAGTCATGGTCCTCTCTCATCATCAACCTCAATCGTGACTTGCCCCACCTCTCGCTCGAAGACGTGAAGCGAGCGATCCTTCAAGAGGATTTCCGTCGCCGTGAGTTGGCGAGTGCGGATGGCGCCGGGGCAGCAAGCATCGGTCGTGGATATGGCCGTGGAAAGGGCAGAGGACGAGGAGGAGGAAGGTTTGGAGGCAGCAACTTCAACGGAGGCCGCGGGAGTAGCGGATACGGCAATGACAACAAGAACAACGGACGCGGTCGCGGACGGTTCGACGGCGAGTGTCATTTTTGCCACAAGAGCGGACACATGTGGCGCGATTGCTACAAACTCCCTGATGGATGGACTCCTGCTCAAGGCCAAGAGGGTAGAGGAGCAGGAGGAGGGAGAGGAAGAGGCCGTGGAGGCCGTGGCAGTCACGGAGGTGGTGCTGCAAGTATGAAGAGTGCCGGCAACGAGAGCGAGTCGAGGGACGATCGCTTCCCGGGTCAATTCTTCTTCGTGTCCACGCAAGCACCGGCTGGTCCAGAGAATGATGAAAGCTTTGAGGAGCCAGCAGCTGTGGGGAAGGTCACCCTACACTCCCTGGACTATTGGGTGATCGATAGCGGCGCTACCTATAGCATGACACCTCGTGCGGACTTGCTCATCGAACTTGAGCCGTCACCGGTGAAGCATGTGACATCGGCTTTGGGGCAGCGAGCAGAGGTGAAAGGCATGGGCAAGGCCATGTTCAAGGGTGCTGATGGGAAGATGGTGGGCCTCAAGAACGTGCTTTGGGTGCCCAACCTTGCTGCCAACCTGATTTCCGTGCGGCGGTTGCAAAAGGCCGGCATGGACACGAGCTCAAAGGGAGCTAAGACCTACACCGCGAGGCTTGGCGAGCGGATTCTTTGGGACCTTCACGAGGATAGGGATGTCTACAACGAGATGTGGCAAATCCCTGTGGTCCCCATGCCTAAGGAGAGGCAAGTGGCAGCAAGCATCAGCACCAAGGGTGAAGCGGTTGGTAGCGGCGATGGCGCGAACGGTCGCGCTAAGGAGATAAAGTCCAAGAAGTGCAATCTTGGAGGGACCAGCAAGCTCGGTGAACATGAGGAGAGTGGTGCAGCAGCTCAGAAGCAGCACAAGGGTGAGGAGAACCCCAAGGCAGCAGCGGAGGAGGAGTACGGAGAGAACATGTGGGGCACTATTGCGAGTGCGGCATTCTCCAATCCGACTTCGGCTACGGGGGAGTGTGATTGGCTCACCTTGCATCGGCGCATGGGGCATGTGGCCCTGCCCATCTTGCAGCAGCTAGTAAAGAACCAGATGGTTGCTGGCATACGTGTGAAGGGGGAGCCCGATGAGGTGCTTGGCTGCCCGACATGCATTCAAGCCAAGTTCACCCGGTTTCCGTTCCCTAGTTCGGAGGCAACGGCAAAGGCACCGCTTGATGAGGTGGTGATGGACGTGGTGGGCCCCCTGAAGCTTGGAGCTGCTGGAGCTGAGTATTTTCTCACCATTGTCGACGTCTACACCCGCATGACTTGGGTGTACGTGCTGGCCAAGAAGAGCGACGTGGCTGAAACGTTGAAGACGGATTGGTTCCCGATGGTGGAGCGGCAACAAGACCGTCTAGTCAAGTCAATCCGCACCGATCGAGGGGGAGAGTTCCTGAGCAAGGAGTTTGGGTTGTGGCTGAAGAAGAATGGTATTCGGCACTCCCTCACCATGCCATACTCCCCTGCAATGAACGGCATCGCCGAGCGAGCGAACCGCACAATCACGGAGGCGGCACGCGGGTTGCTCATTGAAGCCGGGCTACCCGACTATTTCTGGCCTGATGCGGTGCGGAGCGCGTGTGTGGCCAAGAACAGAGCCTTGACTCATGTGGGAGCAGACAAATGGGTGCCCTATGTGGAGTGGCTAGGAAGGAAGCCAAAGGTGGATATGCTTCGGGTGTTCGGGTGCATGTGCATGGCGCTCGTGCCTAAGCATCTTCGGCACAACAAGCTTGGTGCCAAGGCGGTGTGGGCCGTGCACTTGGGCATGGCTCAAAACAGCAAGGGATGGCTTCTTTGGGACCCATTCACCAAGAAGTTCTTGGTGAGCATGTCAAACATTATATATGTTGTGCTTGTTTAGGCTACAGTGGGTTAGTCTATAGGGGGTACACAATTCTAGGGTTAGGTACTTGTACTCATTTCACTGTTAGTTCGACCATTCCTGTTTGTTCATCTCAACATGGTATAGAGCAGGTCCTTCGCTAGGACCGTTTTTAGGGCCCACCACTACCTACCTACCTACCTACCTACTACGCCCTAGGGCGCCTCGTGCTTCACGGCCCACTAAGGCCCCGCGACCCGCCCCTTAGCGACCTACGCGCCGCCCCTTAAGGCCCCGTCGGCCCCACGCGCTAGCCCCTTAGCGACCCCGTCGGCCCCGCGATCGCCCCTAACGGCCCCGTCGGCCTCGCGCTCACCTCCCTAGAGGCCCCCCGTCGGCCCCGCGCTCGCCCTTAGCGGCCCCTTACGGCCTCGCGCTCGCCCCTACAAGCCCCGAACGGCCCCGCGCTCGCCTTTAGCGGCCCCTTACGGCCCCGCGCTCGCCCCTAGAGGCCTCGAACGGCCCCGCGCTCGCCCCTAGAGGCCCTGAACGGCCCCGCCAGAACGAGCCGCACGAACCGAGCCGCCCAGCCCGAACCGAGCCGCCCAGCCCGAACCGAGCCGCCCAGCCCGAACCGAGCCGCGCCGCCCGAACCGAGCCGCGCCGCCCTACCTGAACCGAGCCGCGCCGCCCGTACTGGACGGAGCCGCCCTACCTGAGTCGCACTGCCTACTGTTTCTGGGGTGCACCTACTGCTATTACTGCTATTCTACTGTTACTCCTACTACTGCTATGGCTAGCCCTCCTGTGCTAGCTTTCGATACTGAGGGCCGCCCAGTGAGGTTCGAAACCTGGCTAGATGACCTACACCTCTTCCTACAGCTCACTGCCAAGGAGGACATCTCACTGTACGATCACGCCCTAGGCCATGCTACTGCTCCTGCTGCTACTGCTGACAGCACCACCCGCTCACAGTGGCAGACTCGTGACGCCCACGCTCGCTTCGCTATTCGCAACTCCCTGCCGATAGATGAGCGCGAGCACTTTGGGCAGCACAAGACTGCACAGGCACTGTACACTGCTGTCGTTGCCCGCTACTCCTCACCGGCCTCTGCCGCACTAGGCCGTCTCTCTCTTCCCTACCTGTTCCCCGACTTAGCCTGTTTCCACACAGTCGCTGACCTCATTACGCACCTCCGCACTAGTGAAGCTCGCTTCCGCGCCGCCATGCCTGATGAGTTCCTTGCCAAGAACCCACCCCCGCTCTGGCTCACTCTCTACCACCTAGTCACCCGCCTCCCTGACACTCTGCGCTCAGTCAGGGACCACTTCCTAGCTCGCTGCCCCACTGAGCTCACCATTACCCTCCTCGAGAAGGAACTCCTTGCAGCTGAGGCTAGCATAGTCGCTGTAGGTGCCTCTCGTGGCGACCCCCGTACCCCGTTCTTTGAGGGGTGTTCTCCTTCCCCCCTTCTTCCCTCTGTCGCCTAAGCTGCTGCTGTCGACCTCCTTGGTGCTGAGAAGGTCGTGACTGCGTCTGCTTTGAGCGGGCGCCGCAGCGGCAAGGGCAAAGGGGGCAAGGGCGGTGGCGGTGACAGCGGGGGAGGCGGTGGTGGGGGCGGTGGCGGTGGTGGGGGTGGTGGCGCAACTGGAGGGGCTAGTGGCAGCGGTGGGGGTGGTGGCGGCAGCGGCGGGGGAGGTGGCAGGGGCGGAGGCGGTGGTGGGGGTGGCAGTGGACGCGGCGGCGGCAGGGGTTGGGGTGGTCGAGGAGGTGGCAGCGGCGGTGGTGGTCGTGGAGGCGCTGGCGGTGGCCAGGGCCAGCAGCACACTCCGTCACCCCAGGAGGTCCGTGAGTGGTACTCTCAGCACGGGGGGGGGGGTGGCTTTAGCTGCACGTACGTCATTCGCACTGGTGACCGCACTGGTCAGCCGTGTGGGGGACCGCACGCCACACAGCGCTGCTTCGCTCGTCTCAACGACGCTTGGCGTGTTCAGTTCCCTCAGGCCACTGAGCTGCCCCGCTGGGTTGATCTCCTGAAGAAGGGGATTGATATCTATGCTCTAGACTTTGATGCTATTCTAACTGCTATGTATGTGATGTCTACTTGTGGAGAGGGTGCTGAGTACCTGTGTGTGCCGCCCGACCCGGGCATTAGGACTAGTGCGTCTGCCGCTCCAGGTACTCACGTGTCTGCTACCCCAGGTGCTGGTGAGGCAGCTGCTCTAGGTGCTTGTACGTCTGCCCCCCCTGGTACTGAGTCGACTGCAGCACTGCACACCTTCACGCTGGACTCAGGTGCTTCTCGCTGCTTCTTTCGTGACCGCACTGCCCTTGAGCCGCTTACTCGGCCAGTTGCTGTCTCCCTCGCTGACCCCTCTGGGGGTCCGGTCATTGCGACCTCCTCCACTGTCCTTCCCTGTCCTGCGGTCCTGTCGGGCACACTGTCAGGTCTCCACCTCCCCTCGTTCTCTACGAACTTGGTGGCAGGTTGTGCACTCCAGGACGGGGGTGTTCACCAGTTCACCCCTGCCTACGAGCGCGTGACACACTGCACGTGTGCTCGTACGGGCCGCCACTTGGCTACCTTCACACGGCAGCCGGGGTCGGACCTGTACACACTGACCACTGAGTCCCCTCAGGTCGCTGCGTCTGCGTCTGCGTCCGCGTCAGGTCAGCTCTCTGCCCCCTGCTCGTGTCGCTCTCTGGCGCACGAGACTGTCCTCTGGCACCACCGACTTGGTCACCCGTCTGTGCAGCGCCTTCGTGCCATGCACTCCCGGTACCTTGTCTCTGGTCTTCCCAGGGTCCTCCCTCCCCTCCCGCCCTCGCCTGCTCCTCCCTGCCTTCCCTGTGTCGAGGGGCGGCAGCGCGCCGCTCCTCACTCCTCCTCGTTTCCCCCGACTACTGCTCCCTTGCAGACGCTCCACATGGACGTGTGGGGCCCAGCCCGCGTCCGTGGTCAGGGTCAGGAGAGGTACTTCCTGATAGTTGTTGACGACTACTCGCGCTACACCACGGTCTTCCCCTTGCGCACCAAGGGTGAGGTCCCTGATGTCTTGATCCCTTGGATCCGCAGAGCCCGTCTCCAGCTCAGCGAGCGTTTTCACTCGGACTTTCCTGTCCTGCGCTTGCACTCTGACAGAGGTGGTGAGTTCTCCTCCGACCTCTTGGCAGCCTACTGTGCTGACCACGGCATTGAGCAGTCGTTCACGCTTCCGGCCTCTCCACAGCAGAATGGGGTTGCAGAGCGCCGCATTGGCCTGGTCATGGAGGTCGCCCGTACCTCCTTGATCCATGCGGCTGCCCCCCACTTTCTGTGGCCGTTTGCGGTCCGGTACGCTGCGCATCAGCTCAACCTCTGGCCCCGTGTCTCCTTGCCGGAGACCTCGCCCACACTGCTGTGGACGGGGGAGGTTGGCGATGCGTCGCGTTTCCGGGTCTGGGGATCTCGAGCTTTTGTCCGCGATACGTCTGCGGACAAGCTCTCCTCCCGTGCTGTTCCCTGCGTCTTCCTCGGCTTTGTCCCGGACGCACCTGGTTGGCAGTTTTACCACGCCACCTCGCGCCGAGTCTTGCCCTCTCAGGACGTCACTTTTGACGAGTCCGTCCCCTACTACCGCCTCTTCCCCTACCGCACTGCCCCGCTCCCCCCCCCGCCTCTCTTCCTCGCGCCAGATGCTGCTGTCGTAGACCCCCTCCCCCCTCAGGGTGCCGCTCCCTCAGGTGTGTCTCAGGTAGACCCGGTTGAGCCTGTTGAGGTAGCTGTCGACTCTCGTCCTGCTGCGGGTGCTGAGCCTGGGGGTGCGGAGCCTGGGGGTGCGGAGCCTGGGGGTGCTGAGCTTGGGGGTGCGGAGCTTGGGGGTACTGAGCCTGGGGGTGCTGAGCCTGGGGGTGCGGAGCTTGGGGGTACTGAGCCTGGGGGTGCTGAGGCTGGGGGTGCTGAGCCGCAGAGTCCGGAGTCTGGGGGTTCTGAGTCTGGAGGTCCTGAGCCTGAGAGTCCTACACCTGGAGGAGCCCTCTCCTCGGAGCAGCTGCGTGAGCGGTACTTACAGTACTGCAGCCTCAGGAGAGGTACCTCTGGGGCCAGGCGTCCTACTCGGACTGGTGCTAGTGCTTCTCCTCCTAGCCGGGAGCTCCCCTCCCGTGAGCGGATCCGTGAGTGGTACGTGCGCCGCTGCACTCTTCGGAGTGGCGCGCCTGGTGTCGCGGACCCCACTGCTGCCGTTGGAGCTGCTGCTGGTGCTGAGGACCCGGGCGTTGGAGCTGCTGCTGGTGCTGAGGACCCGGGCGTTGGAGCTGCTGCTGGTACTGCGGGCCCGGGCGTTGGAGCTACTGCTGGTTCTGAGGACCCTGGCGCTGGTGCTGCTGCTGGTGCTGTGGAGTCGGGCGTTGGAGCTGCTGCTGGTGCTGAGGACCCGGGAGTTGGAGCTGCTGCTGTTGCTGAGGACCCTGGTGCTGGTGTCTCTGCTGGTTCTGGAGTCGCTGCCCGACACCGGCCGTACTTCGTTCCGCTCCTTCAGCAGGTTCTTGGTCTCCCGCCTTCTCCCGGTCCTCCTCCTCCCTTCGAGTGTCCACAGCCTGTCCAGTCACAGTTACAGTTACAGCCCGCCTCCCCACTGCCTGCTCCTTCTCCCTACACTGGTCCTACTGGAGGTCTTGCTGAGCGTCGTGAGCCTGCGTCTCGCCCTGCGTCGCCTGTCCGTGCTGCTCGCACTAGTGGTCACAGTTCGCGTCAGCGTCCTCCTCCTGTCCCTGGCACGCACCGGATGTCTCTGCGTCCGTCCACTGCTCCTCTGCGTGCCCCTTTGCCTTCTCCTCCTGAGTCCTCTCTTCCTGCTCTTCCCGACCCGGAGTCGGACTCTCTTCGTGCTGCCAGTCCTACTGTCACGCGTCTCCTTGCTACTGTCGTTACTGACCCTTCCTTTGCGTCCACTGCTGCGTCTGCCCTAGTTGCTGAGCTCGTCGACTTTGCTGCTCGCTGTCGTCTAGACTACGCTGCTTGTCTTGTCGCTGAGTCTGAGTCTGTCTGTCCTCCGTCCGTCGGGGGTGAGTGTGCCCTTGGCACGGACGTCCTTGAGGACAGGCAGGAGGAGTTCCAGTGTTTGGCTGCTGCTTCACCTCATCTCGTGTCCGTACTGCTTACCCCTGAGGGAGACCCGGATGCACTTGACATCCCGACTCCGCGCTCTTACGCGGAGGCGATAGAGGGTCCCTACTCTTCTCAGTGGCAGGCAGCTATGGATGCAGAGATGGCTTCCTGGAAGTCCACAGGCACCTACGTTGACGCTGTCCCCCCTCCTGGGGCGAACATCGTCAGTGGCATGTGGATTTTCAGGGTGAAGCGGCCGCCGGGTTCTCCGCCTGTCTTCAAGGCGCGTTACGTGGCTCGTGGCTTCAGTCAGCGGCAGGGAGTTGACTACTTTCAGACCTTCTCTCCCACCCCGAAGATGACCACTCTTCGGGTACTGCTGCACGTAGCTGCTCACCGTGACTACGAGCTACACTCTCTTGACTTCAGCACTGCTTTCCTGCAGGGCAGCCTGCACGAGGAGATCTGGCTGCGCCGCCCACTTGGCTTCACTGGGACTTTTCCTCCTGGCACCCAGTGGAGCCTCCGGCGGCCAGTCTACGGTCTCCGCCAGGCACCGCGTGAGTGGCACGACACACTGAGGACTACGCTTGCGGCCCTTGGGTTTGCTCCCTCTACTGCCGACCCGTCGCTGTTTCTACGCACCGACACTTCTCTGCCGCCGTTCTACATCCTCGTGTACGTCGACGACTTGGTCTTTGCCACAGCTGACACTGCTGGACTCGCCTACGTGAAGTCCGAGCTGCAGAAGAGACACTCGTGCACAGACCTGGGTGAACTGCGCAGCTACCTTGGCTTGCAGATCACCCGGGACAGAGCACGCCGCACCATCACCCTGACTCAGTCACACATGGTGCAGCAGGTCCTTCAGCGCTTCGGCTTCACGTACTCCTCGCCTCAGGCCACTCCTCTGCCTACTCGCCATTCGCTCTCAGCTCTGCCTTCGGATGAGTCCGTAGAGTCGAGTGGCCCGTACCCAGAGCTTGTTGGCTGCCTCATGTACCTGATGACCTGCACGCGACCTGTCCTTGCATACCCTCTTAGCATTCTCGCACGCTATGTTGCTCCTGGGAGACACCGACCAGAGCACATGGCTGCAGCGAAGAGGGTGTTGCGCTACTTGTGCAGTACGTCGGGCATGGGGCTAGTGCTTGGAGGGCGGAGTCCAGTGGTCCTCACTGGTCACGCAGACGCTTCTTGGGCTGACGACCAGGCTACGCAGCGGTCGTCACAGGGTTACACCTTCAGCCTTGGTTCCGGCTCTGTTTCGTGGCGGGCTACTCGCTCGTCTTCTGTTCTCGGCTCCAGTTGTGAGGCTGAGATCTACGCAGGGGCCATGGCTGCTCAGGAGCTTCGCTGGCTTACCTACCTGCTGACCGACCTTGGAGAGCCGCCTCGTTCTCCTCCAGTCCTGTACGTAGACAACAAGGCCATGCTGGCCTTGTGTCGAGAGCAGAGACTGGAGCACAGAACAAAGCACATTGCTCTCCGCTACTTCCTTGCTCGTGAGCTACAGCAGCGTGGTCAGTTGCGGCTTACGTACGTGGCCTCTGAGGCCAACACTGCTGATGTCTTCACCAAGGCACTTGCGCCTTGTGATCATCAGCGCTTCTGTACCCAGCTGGGTCTTGTGCCTGTCTTGCCTCACTTGCTCACCTCTTGACCTTGGTTGTACTGTTACATATATATGTACCTGCTCTTGCTTGTCTAGCCTTATATATATATGTACTCCTGCATGTGAACTGGCCTTGTGGCCTTGAACTTGTGCTCGGAATGTGTGGTGACTTTGTGATCCACCCTGAGCTTGCTTTGCCTTGCTTTACTTGACTGGTCTTGTGACCCCTAGTTCTCCTCCACTTCGCCTATGGGGGTGTGTCAAACATTATATATGTTGTGCTTGTTTAGGCTACAGTGGGTTAGTCTATAGGGGGTACACAATTCTAGGGTTAGGTACTTGTACTCATTTCACTGTTAGTTCGACCATTCCTGTTTGTTCATCTCAACAGAGCAGGGACTGCAAGTTCATGGAAAACTTCATGTACAAGGATTGGAAGGCGGAGAATGAGGCGAAGATAGGCGTGCGGTTTGGGGAGGTGAAGAGTTCCGGTTTGGAGCATGTGGAGCTGCCTTTGGAGCTGAGCAGCGGCAGCACAACCACAAGGCAATCCTCCCTTGTGAATGGGGGAGAGGAGGCCAATGATGCAGAGGAAGAAGAGGAGGAGGTGCAGCAAGTGAGCGAGCGTGCACCGTCACTCCCTTCCCGTACTACGAGTGCTCCACGGATTCGAGCCACACCGCAGCAACGCCAAGGCCTTCAAGTCCCTGCAGCTGAGGAGGAAGGAAGGGGGAAGAGGAGAGTTCAACCCCCTAATAGGCTGACCTATGATGCGCCGGGAAAGCAGGGCAAGACAGCCCTGGCCGGAGCGGCAATGATGGTCGGAGACGACGAGGAGAGTGACTACGAGGAGTGTGCCTTCGCGTTCTTCTCTCCGGTGGAGATGCCGGGAGAACCAGCAACTCTCAAGGAGGCTTTGGAGAGTAGTGATGCTGAGGAGTGGAAGAAGGCCATGGAGAGTGAGCTGAAGAGCATCGAGGAGAATGACACGTTTGAATTGGTGGAGCTACCGGAGGGGCGTACGGCGATAACGTCCAAGTGGCTCTTCAAAATCAAGTCGGATGCCGACGGCAAGATCGAGCGCTACAAGTCTAGGCTTGTAGCCAAGGGGTACCAGCAGAAGGAGAAGGTGGACTTCAAGGAGCTGTTTGCCCCTGTGGTGAAGCCGACGACGCTGCGAACCCTATTCGCGGGAGCCGCCATCAAAGGATGGGTAGTAAAGCAAATGGACATCGTAACGGCATTCCTTAACGGCATCCTTGAGGAGGAGATTTTTTATGGCGCAGCCAGAGGGGTTTGATGATGGTAGTGGCAGAGTGTGGAAGCTGAAGAAGGCCCTCTATGGGCTGAAGCAGGCCCCTAGGCAATGGTACATGAAGCTGCGCGAAGTGTTGGAGGGGATCGGCTTCACTCCCTCAACGGCCGATCACTCCTTGTTCATGCTTGGCGAGGGGGAGCAGAGGAGTTTCATGGTGGTTTATGTGGATGACATCCTCATTTTCTCACCCTCTTCTGAACTTGTGAAGGAGGTGATGCTGAAGCTTCAAGACAAGTTCAAGTGCAAGGCCCTTGGTGACGTGAGCTTCTACCTTGGGCTCCACATCGAACGAGATGTGGAGAAGCGGTGCATGCGGGTGCATCAACGAAAGTACCTGGAGGCATTGGCTGCCAACTTTGGGCAGAGTGAAGGCCATGTGGCTACACCCTTTCCCTCTGGGTTCAAGTGTGTGAAGGGACCAGAGGAGGAGAGCGTTGGTGAAGAGGAGAGGCGCCGATTTCACTCGTTGGTGGGCAGCCTCATATATGCGGCGGTAAACACCCGACCGGACGTCGCGTTTGCTACCGGGCAGCTGGCTAGGGTTGTGCAATGCCCTAATGAGGAGCAGGTAGCAGCTGGAATGAGGGTGGCCAAGTATCTTGGCCAAACACCGACCGTTGGGCTGCAATACTCGGCGGCGGCACAAAGGCGCCAAAAGGGCGCGGATGGTGTTGAACCCGGGCGTTTGTTCCTCACCGCCTACTCGGATGCTTCATATGCATCAGAACCAGAGGACATGACAAGTGTGGGAGGCTTCATATGCTGTGTTGGTGGAGGCCCAACTGCTTGGGAGAGCAAGAAGCAGGTTGACCAAGCTTTGAGCTCGGTGGAGTCCGAGTACATGGCACTCTTCCGTGCCGTACGGGAGATTGTGTGGCAGCGGCGTTTGTTGGCTGAATTGGGGGAGGAGCAGCAAGGACCTACCCCACTGTACTGTGACAGCCAGGGTGCCATTGCTCTTGCTAAGAACCCTGTGTTGCATGGACTCACGAAGCACATGAGGGTGAAGTGGCATTGGACGAGGAGCATGGTAACCGCGGGTGAAGTTGAGTTGCACTATGTGAAGACGACAAGGCAGCCAGCTGACATGATGACCAAGAGGCTGGTGGAGCAGCAGCATTGGAAGTGTTGCAAGCTGGCTGGGATGGCTCTGAACTGAGAGAGCAAGATCCTAAGGCCAACAATCCGAGGGGGAGTTTGTTGGTGCAACCCTACGGTTTGCATTCGGCTTGTTGTCCGTGTGCGTGCATGCGTCTGTGCATGGAATGGTATGAGGGCATGAAATAATATATATTTCATGTTTACAATAGTGTGTGTATGATGAAGCATGATTTTGAATGTGTGCGTCGAGTCAATAGCGAGTTATCGCTAGTCGCGTGTCACGTCGTCGTTTGTGTGTCGTGTGCGGTTTTCTATTTTGTCGTGTGTGGAACGTTCGGCGTGTCGCAGGTGTGCGCAGCAGACTTCCAAGAACTCAAGGAAGAATTTACCTTGAAGAACCAGAGCCTTGGTTTCAAGATTCAAGTTATTTCGAAGCTCTCCAAAAGGGTAAACTTTAAGATAGTGAGAATAGTTGCATTACTTTGTGTAGTGTAACATTTCTCTTGGTGTAGGCCCTTGTGGAGGGTAGTTTCGAGACCCTTCGTGGTTGGGGACAGTGTGGCACTGTTCCACATCACTGTACCTCGGCTCTTGGGGTTTGTAGGAGCTGGGAGTCATTCCCAACTCGTAACTCTTCCTATCTTGTGTTCTAAGACTATAGTGGCTGCCATAGTACCGTTCGTTCAAACCGACGCTGTGTCGTCAATTCTTTATCAAATCGTGCAATCTAAATTGCTAATTGTAGACGACGTGAAGACGCTCCAGATCCAATTTGAATCAAGTCATTTGCAGCTGTGATCAGAACGCTATCAACGTTTGAAGCCGCTGTGCAGAAATCCATCTGTGCTCTCTATCTTTCGTTTTAGGCACATTCAAGCCTATTGTGACTATAACAACTCCCTCCAGACCGCGCTGTGTGTGTTATAGTCACAATAGGCTCAAATGTGCCTAAAACGAAAGATAGAGTGCACAGTCGGATTTCTGCACAGCGGCTTTAAACGCTCATAGCGATCTGGTCACAGCTGCAAATGACCTGATTCAAATTGGATCTGGAGCGTCCTAATGTCGCCTACATAGGCAATTTAGATCGCACGATTTCACCAAGTTCACGACACAGCGTTGGTTTGAACGAACGGCACTATGGCAGCCACTATAGTCTTAGAACACAAATTAGGAAGAGTTACGAGTTGGGAATGACTCCCAGCTCCTACAAACCCCAAGAGCCGAGGTACAGTGATGTGGAACAGTGCCACACTGTCCCCAACCACGAAGGGTCTCGAAACTACCCTTCACAAGGGCCTACACCAAGTGAAATGTTACACTACAGAAAGTAATGTAACGATTCTCAATATCTTGAAGTGTACCCTTTTTTCGCGGGCTTTGCGATCACTTGAGTCTTGAAACCAAGGCTCTGGTTCTTCACCATAAACTCATCCTTGAGTTCTTGATGGGTCTGCTGCACACACCTGCGACACGCCGAACGTTCGACAGACGACAAAATAGAAACCGCGCACGGGACACAAACGACCGCGTGACACGCGACTAGCGATGACTCGCTATTGACTCGACACACACATTCGACATCATGACTCAACATTCACACACTATTATAAGCATGAAATATATATTATCCCATGCCCTCATACCCTTCCATGCACACACGTGTGCAAGCACACGGACAACAAGCCGAGTGCAAACCGTAGGATTGCACCAACAGTGGGTCATACCATTCCTGTGGAGCCTAGAAAGGCACCACCGTTTTGACCTCTGTATCGCCTCAGTCCAGCTGAGTACGAAGAGGCTAAGCAACAAATCGAAGTTTTTCTGAAAAAGGGATGGATTGAACCCAGTGCATCACCATACGGAGCACCAATCTTGTTTGTTAACAAGACGGGCGGAGGTCTACGCATGTGCGTTGACTATCGCGCCTTGAACAATATCACAATTAAGAACGGATATCATTTGCCTCGCATTGAGGATCTGTTTGATCGTCTCCAGGGTGCCCAATGGTTTAGCGCATTGGACCTCGCACAGGGGTACCATCAGTTGCGTATCACCAATGACGATGTACCCAAAACAGCGTTTCGCACGCCGTTTGGGCATTTTCAATGGTGTGTGCTGAGCTTCGGCCTGACCAATGCACCGGCCTCTTTTCATCTGGCGATGAATGATGTCTTTCATGAGGCAATTGGTCAATACGTCCTGGTTTATCTCGACGATATATTGGTCTATTCCAAGACCGAAAAGGAGCACACAGAACACCTAAAATGGGTGTTAAACAAACTACGAGAGCATAAGTTCTACGCTCGCTTGTGGAAGTGTCACTTCTACAAATGCGAGTTAGAATATCTGGGACATCTCGTGGGGAACAGTGGATTGAAAGTTGATCCCAAGAAAGTGGTCACTGTTGAGAACTGGCCCGTTCCACAGGACGTGGGTCAAGTCAGGTCCTTTTCGGGCTTAGCCAATTATTTTCGCCGTTTCTTGGAAAATTATTCAACTAGTTGCCCCATTGACCGCACTTACTTGAAAAGGTACTGTGTGGGAATGGACCAGACAATGCCTAGAGGCATTTGAAGCGGCCAAACAAAAGTTGACCAATGCTCCCGTTCTGGTATTACCAGGTCCA